TTCGTGCTTGCACGTAATTACTGGGCGCTCTTATTGAGTCTGCTTTTCGAATGAGCAATAAACTAAAATAAAATATATACTATTCTAAAGCGTTTGTATTAAGTTTATTTGAATATACTTTACTTCTATTACATTCTTTTCTATTCCAGTCCCGTAATACCCGTAATTTTAAAAAAGAAATTGAGTATGAAATATACAACCAAAATAGATTTATCTGTTTATTACAGGAGTGGTATCATTTTGCTAATTATTATTGTTATTATATTACAATTATCCTATGTCAATTAATAATCGTCATAAATAGTATACAAATACGTACATAACACATCATCATCATCATCATCATCATCATCAGCCCACTGCAGTCCACTGCTGGACATAGGCCTCTCCCAAGGCACGCCATACATAACACATATTAAATATCATTAAGAGATATGTTAAACAATTTATTAAATTTATATACACGTGTTTTGATTGCATAACATATCAATAAATACTATTGCTTTCACCGTTTGACATTGAATTCTGATTGTCCCCTTCATGTCGTTCAACTTTGTCTCTTACTATAGTAAAACTTTAATTATAAATTGTGCAACAAAAATATATAGCTACAAAAAGTAATTTTATAAGATTGAACGAATTTCGACGTGCGTCATGACGTAGTGGTTTCTAGATTAATGTGGTGAATTGAAATTTTGGTTATGATTTAAATGAATGACCTTGTAAGGTGTAGTTGTTTACAATATCGCACGTCTAATACTTTATTATTACCTACTGCATTAATTCACAAATTATTTATTTGAAATAAGACTTTAATATTAAATTTTTAGAGTCGAATTACAATCATTTTAATGCAGACCTGTATAAATGGTACGATCCGTTCTGATAGTTCTTTTAATTTGCTGCAGAAATAAATGTATTCTTTTATTAATTAATAGACTAACATTATCTTATTTTGTATTAAATCTGACACATTATATGAGGAGTACAAAATTGTTGTTCTTAGTTGCTAATTTAATATTTTTTTACGTACATATGCATGAAATGGCAAAAAAACTGATCGCCCAGATAATAATAGCATATTATGTTATCTGTGATAATAGTAAGTGACAATCACCATCTATATACATAAACGTACAATTTGTCATTAGCATGTGGTTCTCGTGTTGCTATTATTCTGAGGGATTATATAGTATACCTACCTTGTAGTTTCACTGCCGTATCTCACAATTGGACGGAATCACGTTATACAAAGCAAGTTACTTGACGGCTGATATAGCTGATACAGAATACTACATACATAGTTTATTCAGAGTCAACTACGTTTCTATAACTTTATTAATTGTTCTAATAATAGTACTGCGGTGACAGAAGGACATGTCACATCTAGTCTCATTGTCGATCTCTGTAATATAGTCGTAAAACTAAAACAATGAGTCCCAAGTCCAAAGCGAAAAAGTTTTACAATCGCAGACTGTACTCCGTAGTGTTTTCTTTCCAAATAGTTCTCATGTAATAAATAGATATCGTGGGAATTCTACTTACATTATAAATTCCCTTGCAATTATGACAAATGCCCGAGTGGCGAAACATTTCTTAATTATTTACGATTCAATAATTAAGTGTAAATTGTAAATGTTTCAAATATTTCGAATTCACTTGCAAGTGTCAAAAAGGATGGTTATTTATAGATTTTGTCCCTTCTCACATTACGATTTTAGACGATCTCGTGAGTCGTTTAGTCGTCGCGATCAGAGAATAATTCTTAAAAGTCTTATGTATTATGGTTGTATAGTTGTATGTAAGTTTTATGGTTGAGATATAGCAGTGAATGTATTGGGCATGAAGATTTATCACTTTAGTATTCTGGAATGGTAAAGTAACGTAAAGTACTATGGGATATTATGGTCTTTAGCAACATATCATGTCAGGGTACAAAATATGAAAGTACTAAAACAACTGAAATTAATATCCTACATTCATGCTAAAATTATAAAAAGAGCAGATTTTGTTAGGAGCAACGTAAACACCGGAAACATTTCACTGCTTGGATAAATTCTTTGAGTGTTTAAAAGGCACTTTATTCTTGATTATGTTAATACATACAACACTCACAAAGTTATGAGCAACCGAAGGAAATGTGGGGTTGGGTCACTAGTTTTTTAATACAAAAATATTTTCCTTCATATAAGAAATAACACAGAACAGAGAAGTAAGTAGAAACTCATTTGTAGTACTTCTCTGTTTAGTGTGAAATAACATAGACTATATATTGGCTATACCCAGGTTTTGATATAACAAAGCCTAAAACATATATAGTAACCCTGAACGTCTTGGTTTGGTTGCTGGAACGCCTTCTAAATTCGACAAACATTTGTATTTAAGGATATGATAGTCCGTATTAGTCTGTATATTTTCTAAACATATTATATACTTGCGATTCCTGCGGTTTCACGCACGTGAAATTTATGGCCTATATGTTATTCTGACGTATAAACTACGAGTGTATTACTGTATCAAAATCCGTTCGGTAGTTCTTGCATAAAAGAGTAACAAACATCCATTCATACGCACAAACTTTCGCGTTCCTAATATTAGTAAGATGATTTAAAAATTGTATTTAAGTATTTTTATCAGTTGTTTAAAACTCATTACATAATCTCTTTTAAATTTGTTTGGAAGGAACATTACTGGTGGTCACGACCCTCAGTCTTGAGGAACCGACAAAGAAGAAGACATAATCTCTGCTTAGCTTGGGACTATGGTGATATACGAATTATCTTACTATTATATTATTATCTGGTATTCGACTGAAATGTCGTGTATTATGAGTGGCATAATGTAAGAAAGGTTTACACTTATATGTAAAATGAACGTAGAAGGGTCTTTGATCCGTCTAGGTCTATTTTAAAACACTTTAAGTGTTCAGACTGAAATCTCGCAACATCTGCTTTGCTGTAAATTTTTAAAAAGAATCCTTTTTAAATTATTACATAAAATGTATTCTTTTAAAGAACTTTTATTTAAAAACTAGTTAGCATTATTTTTGTACGTGTACGCATCTTGCTAATATTATAAACGCGAACGTTTCTGACTATAGATGTTTGTTACTCTTTCACGCAAAAACTACTGAACGCAACTAGGCTTATGCATTAGAATGAAACATAGGGTATATTTTGTATTGAAATTTAACGCAAGTGAAACCGCGGGCACAGCTAGTATGGATATAAGGGTAAATTTAAACAATATTAGCTGAAAAAATATTATGGTTTAATATTTCAATGTCAAAATAATACAAAATAATATTTCTATAACATATTCAAACATCTAAATTAATATGTTTTCTTTGATATGTATCTATTTAACTTCAATGCACACAGTACAAAATATAGTACAATACATTTGGCGGACTCAATACCATGCGGCATTTTCGGTCGGCGGTCTCATCGCTATAAGTTGTCTGATGCAAATAACATTGAAAAAGTTAAAAACTTATAAATGAACAGATATATTTTGCATTTGTACCATTAGTATGAATACTTGATAATAAATGATGAACCGATTTTGATGATTTATTTTGCAGTACATAGTATACTTATGTATACCTTTCGAGACATAATACGCAACTATCACATGAAATTCGACCAACATTACTTTAGGTAGTAAAGCAACATTTGCTGGAATGTCCCTTGCGGTTTCGAGCGTTATTATTCTTGCCAAATATAAATTCCAATAATAAGACACGTTTTTGTTCACCTGCTTATAGTATTTTCACAATTAAATTCCACTGTTTGTTTTCCATAAATGTTTACGGTTACCTTTTGTAATTGTTGGACCGAGTACATTTCTTGCTCAAACATTATTTGATGCGAAAACGGCCTAAATAATAGCATAACGATGTATTTTGCCTGCTTTATTGTATGTTGCCTTTTCAAATATACACAGAACAAGATTATTTATGTAGCATAAAGTGTTAAAAATAGATATATTCTATTCCTTAATTTACATATTTATGTTCTACAAAAAATGTATGTATGGCAGACTTATATTGTACAAGTAGTTTAGAGTAATATACGATCGCGAAGATTTTTGTATTAGTCTGTCTTTTTCATGAAGCGATCTACAGGAAGTGCATTCCAAAGATTCGAGGCCGAAATAATCATGATAAGTGAGAATTCTACTGTATTGTAAAATATCTTAATTAATATGATATTAACCTACAAAATGAATAAAAAAAAGAAATAAAGAAACATGTTAAGACACTTGATACGACATGATGAATTTATGAACAATATTATTTAGGGAAAAATAGAAGGAAAGAGGCGGAGGGGAAGATCAAAGCACAGCAGCACATTAAAGAGAAAATGAGAGTCATGTAGTATTAACATTTAAAAATCATAATGGAAGACCGTAGAGAGAGCTTATTTCTTAAATTGTGAATGAATAAATTAACCTATTTCGTAGTTTAAATTCATAAAAACATCGCGTTAACTAGTTTGAATAGCTAATTAATTTATCAGTCACTAATTTTTATTTGTTTTTAATAGCTATCACTCGGTTTCCTAATGACCTCAATTTGATATGTGTAATAATTATCATTGTATTTTTTTATTGGATGATAATGGAATACTGTCAGTCTGCATTTACGGTATACGTAGACGGAACATCAGTGGAGGATAATAGGATGAGTATTAAGTTTGGTCAGTCGGCTCATCCTGGCAGACCATAGCACTACTCTATGTTCTCTCATACCCGTCATGCTGCTAATGTAGGCATCTAGTTATTGGTCACTTCTCATCAGATGGGCAATAATCTTGTTTCCACGAAAGCCTACTTGGAAACAAGCACTATTACGTGCGTCGCATTATAAATATATAAATCGAAATACATTATAGCATGGATGAAATTACATTAAAACACTATGGATAATAATATATATGTAGCTTATGATGGTTAGCATCTTTTTCTTTCCAATTTCAAAAATTTTCATTTTTTTCTAGATATTGCTACTAGAAGCAGGAGGTGAAGAGCCTGATGTCACAAGTGTGCCGGCTTTAGCACCCACATTAGCTGGCTCCAGTATAGACTGGGGATACACAACACAGCCAGAAGAATTGACTTGTCGAGCGCAACTTGGTCAACAATGCCGTTGGTTTAGGTAAGATTGTTATATAATTACATCCTTGTCATTGTTTTTATACAATAAAAATATCCCTGGACAATTCACACAACGCTATTTAGTGCCAAGCTAAGTAAAGCTTGTGTTATGACTACTATACAACTGTTATACATACTTAAATATATTTTTTGTGAATACATATATAATATATGTAAATAGAAAACTCCCAGACTACAGTATGGTAAGGAATTGAACCCGCAATCACCGGAAGTAAAGCGGTGTGCTAAACCGCGATATCACTGAGGCTGTCATAATTTTTATAACTATGTACATGAATATAACTTTGTATATTTTCGTCTGTCACAACGACAGCGACTCGTGCTAAGTGCGAGGCGATATGCTGCTGATATGACAGGGTTGAACTTCAGGGTTTGACATCCGGAGGAAGTCGAAACAATTGTCGTAGATAGTTATAAAAAAATATGTAAAAAATTACATACGTCTTAAAAATAATAATTTTTTTAATAATCTACTGTTTTAATAGTTTCAAAATTGAAACAACTTTTATAAAATTTGATCACTGTGTATAATTTAGACTGATTTAAAAGATAACAATAAATGGTTTCTGCAAGTAAGAATACACTACAGCTAAAAAGTTTGTTTAATTTTAATTTGTATGTCCGTTTCGCGCTAATATCTGATATATCCAGGATTTCAAAAATTCTTCACATATAGCTTAATACTTGAACAAGGTTGCTGTTTAGCGAGATTTGTAAAGGATACTTACCATCGGTTTTAGAGGTCTAGCAGTAAGTATACTTACTGCTACCTATATTTATTAATTTTAATTTAATAGATATTTTATTTTTATTACTAAAATAATATTTTTGAGATTTATCAATAAATAGGTATAATATATTTATCAATGTATAGGTAGGTATAACTGCAGAAATAAAAAAGTTGAACGGGTCGTTATAATTCTATGGATTAGTCTGCAAAGAAAAGGTTCATTGATCACTTATTATAGCTATAGTACCTGTAGTGTGTATTTTATAGTTGCGTCAGCATAAAATCAATGAGAAACGGTTATAACCTGTGTATATCTACGATTTTATATGTATATCAAGGATTTACTGTTTATTGCATGTTGTTGTTATTATTTCTACTGTACTCTTATTTTTAACTAGAGGGTGCGTGTGTGCGCGGGCCTCAAGAGGCCCGCGAGGCGTTGTCGTTGATTTTTTTTGTGAAGACGGTTTTTATTTTCGTTGTTAGAGTTGTCTGTTTTGATACGATAAGGTGACTTCCTATTGTAACAGTGAATTTCTGTTTCACGTGTACCATATATACCTGTGGCGAAACTTTGTATTGTAATGGTCACAATACAAAACCTAACCTAACCTACCTTTCTGTATACTATATTAGTCATATTCTTTTCATTCATTTGATGTATGTAGACAATTATTTTCAAAACACAGCAATTATTTAAATTTAAATTAAAGCATGATATAATATTTAAAAGTATGCAATAGTTGAAAATATAAAATTACTATATATATATCTCTCTCTATCTAGCCATTTACCATTTCATATGCGGCTCTCCTAGTCCTTTTTCGCTTGGCATACCTGTCCTGGGTCGTCGAATGGTTTATTTCTATCGATTTAAGAAACTACTATATATATTATATCTAAATTTATTGTTATTGTCGCAATAAATTAAATTGATATTATTTCATTTTAAGGTGAGGGAAATGATAGTAATGAGGATTAGTGGCGCCATTACTAGCAACTCACCAATTTTAGATTGATGGTCGTCTAAAAACTCATATAGTATGTAGATGAATTGGCTGACTGACCTGACTAGGATGATTGTGACCCGTATAAACCGTTAGCGCAAATTGGGCCATGATACCATTATCATCCATTAAAAAAAATTGTTTAAAACAAATCAAATGCATTATTTACTTAATTATTTGCTGTTTTTTTATTGTTTTATTTTTATTACGTTTTAACGGCAATTACTACTGTTAATATTGCCAAAAGATATTTTCTGAATATAGTTATTTTAAGCTAAATTTATTTTTAGTTTAGAATATTTAGCTTTATTAGAGTGTTGAGATAATATGAAATATTTACTAAAATTTATGAGTGATTACTAACATTGCAACTCCTTTATATAGGTATTGCGAATCACTTTCATTTTAATATACCATAACAGTTTATGCGAATCTGCAAAAACCAATATTGTAAAAAAAAATTACATTTAATATTTTTTATCTTGTATTTGAATTATAAGTCATAGTTACATATGTTTAATGCATTCGTTGATTATCAAATTAAGTATCCTCAGACTATAATACTAATAGAAGTAAAAATAACAATATATTAATTGTAAATGCCATTTATAAAAAAAAACTTACATGATCATTTTTAATTGTAGTACAAACCTAATACAAATTTCATTCATGTGTTTCATTACAGTGGACGAGTGCTGGGTGGATCTAGTGCTATTAACTATTTCACCTATATGAGAGGTAACAAAAGAGATTACGATGATTGGGTTGAATTAGGAAACTATGGTTGGAGTTACGCTGAAGTGAATATTATAGATATATGTAATATGGGTATTTTTTGTAAAAAAAAAGAAACCACTATAATGTAACTAACATTATTTCAGGTTTTACCGTATTTTAAAAAGTCGGAAAATAATCGTGATATTGAAGCCAAAGATAAATATTATCATGCTATAGGAGGACCTTTAAATGTAGAAAGATTTTCCTATGTGGATAAAACTACTGTCATGCTCGTAGAAAGTTTTAAAGAGATGGGATTACCGCTAGTCGATTTTAATGCTAAAAACCAAATAGGTACAATGACTGCACAGACAACAACGAAAAATGGGAGACGTGTGTCAACAAACACTGCATTTATAAAACCTGTACGACCACAAAGATCTAATTTATATGTTTATATCAATACTGAAGTAACAAGAATTCTAATTGACCGGGAGGAAAAAAAGGCTTATGGAGTGAAATATATAAAAAATGGAAAATGGTATAAAGCGTATGCAAAAAAAGAAGTAATTGTAAGCGCAGGAGCACTCAATTCACCTAAATTACTAATGTTATCAGGTATTGGACCTAAGGAAGACCTAGAGTCATTAAGTATACCTGTCATAAAAGATCTCAAAGTAGGTTATAATTTACATGATCATAGTACTACCGAAGCAATGTTGATAGGATTATCAAATAAAACATCAACGCTTTTGAGTGACGATGATATGTTACAAGAAATTGCAAAATTACGTAGAACAAAATATACAACTGGACCATTATCTGCGACGGGGCCTGTACAAATGACTGCGTTCATACGTACAAAATATGCAGATGACGATAAAACAGTACCAGATATTCAATTTCATTTTGATGGTAGAAATCTTAAGGACTTTTATTCCGATCCGACAACATATTTAGCGTCGCGGATTTTTCCTTTTGCATATTATGATAGCATAAATGTTAGACCAATTTTATTGCTACCTAAAAGTAGAGGATTTTTGAAATTAAATCGTACAAATCCGATATTTGGTCAACCGTTAATATATCCCAGGTTTTTTACTGTGCAAAGAGATGCAGACACTTTAATAGCAGCGTTGGAATTCATAAGTAATTTAGAGAATACTAAAGCTTTTAGAAAAAATGGCGCTGAATTTGTAAAGCGTTCAGTTGACGCTTGTAAAAATTACAAATGGGGAACCTACGATTACTTTTATTGTTTGATAACACGATATACTGGTACAATCTATCATCCTTCTGGAACATGTAAGATGGGACCACATTGGGACAAAAATGCTGTAGTTAATCCGAGATTAATTGTATACGGTATAAAAAACTTAAGAGTAGCTGATGCCTCTATAATGCCTGACATAACTCGTGGTAACACCAATGCTCCAATAATGATGATAGGTGAAAAAGTTGCTGATATAATAAAAGAAGATTGGCGTCTCTATGTATGATAGTGGGAAATATAATTAATAACATAAAATATATATTTTTAAATTAACGCGGTCACTATTTATGCGTAATTTCCTATGAGTCTCTTAATGTTACGTATAATACGTAAAACAGTCATATGATTAATACATTTATATCATTGTTAATAAATTTTTAATTGTTTTTATTTGTTTTATTCTTTATGTAGTTCATATGTCTAGGAAAACATATTGCAAATACTACATGGTGAGTTATATAAAAACATTCAAGACACTGCAACTTACGAACACATTATTAGAATCACATTATTGTATGGTCTAGTACAAAAGAAAATTTGCACAACTAAATGCACATTTGATTATTTGTAGTCATGTATAGTTAACAGCGTAACGGAATTATTGTACATTTGTGTAACTTTAACAATTTTAAACAATAGGTTTAATGCCTATATCATAGATGTAATGTCATAGTACTATTTATATTAGATTGATGTAGAAATAATAACTAACAAGTCTAATTACACAGTAATCACCGTAAGTTAAGCTAATGATGAAGATTTCTTCGTCTAAAATATTAAGTAGGTATAAGCAATAACTGCGTCATATTTTAAAAAGTTGGTAACATAAAAAGTTAAATAAGATAAATTTACCACTAATGTAATTGCTTCTTTTTGTGTGACATAAATAGCAATCTGAAGATGTTTGAGAATAAAAACTCGAAATGTGATCTTGGTAACTCTTATTATCTTAAAAATAAACTTATCTTAGTGGAATATTAACAATTTAAAAAATGTCCACAAAAAATATTATTTTAGGTACTATCACAAGTAGAGTTAACTAAGAAAATATTTATAAAAAAATACTATTGTTATCACTTAAAGAACTGATTGTTTAATAATATAAAAAATGTTTGTGTTGAAACAGAATTTCAAATTGCAGTAATTTAACAAATAATGAAGTTTATTTCAATTTCAGAGGAAAGACAATGGGAGGTTCAAGTGCAATCAATTACATGATCTACATGAGAGGAAACAGAAAAGATTACGACTCGTGGGCTGAATTAGGAAATCAAGGATGGAGTTATTCTGAGGTTTGTATTTTATTTGTGTATCTAAGACATATTAATATTTCATGAAATTATTTTCTAAAATAATACTTTTTTATTAATATTTCAGTTTAAATTTTTCTTATATTTTTATATTTCTAATATCTAATATTAGAAATATAAAAATATAAGAAAAATCACTCTAGAAAACTATTTAATTATATTTGCAGGTGTTGCCGTATTTTAAAAAAGCGGAAAATAATCAAGACATAGAATCTCACGATTTATACTATCATTCTACAAAGGGGCCTCTCAACGTAGAAAGATTCGAGTATGTCGATATTAATACTATGATGTTAGTACAGGCCTTTAATGAAAAGGGATTACCAATAAGAGATGTAAATGGTGCATCTCAGATAGGCACAGATATTGCGCAATCTACCTCTAAAGATGGGCGACGATTTTCTGTAAACACAGCTTATATTAGATCTATACGGCATAAAAGACCAAATTTACATATAATTACTAAAGCTTTTGTGACTAAAGTAATGATAGATCCATTTACTAAAACCGCATATGGAGTACAATTTGTTAAAAATGGTATTGTACATAATGTGAGGGCAAGAAAAGAGGTAATCTTAAGCAGTGGATCCCTAAATTCGCCAAAAATTTTAATGTTGTCAGGTGTTGGACCAAAGTCCCATTTGAACTCTTTAAATATACCTGTTCTTGCTGACCTTAAGGTAGGTGAAAATTTACAAGATCATGTTACTACAGATGCTTTAATTTTTACATTATCTAACAAAACTTCTACAGCAGTAAGTGGTAATCAACTATTGCAAGAAGTTCAGAATTATTATAATCAATATCCAAAGAAAAATGGGCCTCTATCAACTACACACACTCTATGTGGTACAGCATTTATCAAAACTGAATATGCTGATGAAGATGCACCAGATATACAATTTCATTTCGACGGTCGCAATGTAAGAGAGTTCTATTCAGATCCTACAACTTATGTGGCTACAAATATATTCCCACTAGCTTTTTATGACGGACTTGCAGCAAGACCCTTATTGTTGACGCCTAAAAGTAGAGGGTTTCTGTTTCTAAACTATACCGACCCAGTTTTTGGTCAACCTTTAATCTATAGCAAATTTTTCACGGTGAAACGAGATTTAGATACTTTAATATCCGGCATACAATTTGCTGTAAGTTTAGAAAATACAGAAGCTTTTAGAGCAAGTGGTGCTAGTTACGTTAAGGTTCCTGTGCAAGCATGTGCTAATTACATATGGGGTACTTATGAATATTTTCAATGTATATTAATGCAATATACTTCTACGATATATCATCCTGTAGGTACTTGTAAAATGGGACCAAAATGGGATAACAGTGCAGTAGTAGATCCAAGATTAAGAGTGTACGGTATAGCAAATTTAAGGGTTATTGATGCATCTATCATGCCAAAAATTATAAGAGGTAATACAAATGCACCTACAATAATGATAGCTGAGAAAGCAACAGATATGATAAAAGAAGATTGGTTGTCATTGTAATGTATAATTTAATTTATGAGATTGATACGATGTAATAAATAATAATAAATCATGACCATATTACGTGAAAAGATAATTGAACAAAGTAAATACGATACAATGAAATAGAAATTCGTATATCTTTAATATCAAGTCTATTGTTACAGTTGGCTTTACGAATTATTTCATGCTTCATAAATATATATTTTCAGATTATTCATTATGTTTACAAAATTACAGCGAAAATTGTAAATATTTGAAAGATAAATTATTATATTTATTAATGGTTCTTTTACCAATGAAAACTTGACAACATTATTTTGCATTGTCATATGTATTTTAATTGTTTATTATTTTTTCGTTTAGAGATTTTTTTATAATTTTTGTTTAGAGATTTTTTTAAATGTCCTTTTGTTCGACAAAAGTTGTATCTTTAAAATTGCTGTAGTAACGAGAAATTGTAAATAATAGGAATGTGTTTATAATTATTTATTGCCCTGCAGGATATAGAAGTTATTTTTGTACATATATTTATTTGTAAATGTATAGTTAATCGTACATTCTTGATGAATGACAAAGATTGTATTGATATTAACTCTACAAAACTATATAATGCGAATGCAAAGATAAAGGTGTCTTTCATATTAATTTAATAATTTATAGGTGATGTGTTCATACAATAGTGATATAATTTAAATTGTATTTTCATAGGCACATTATTTGTCACGACTATTTTTATGTCAACTAACATAGTTACCACCAATGCCAAAAATATATTTAAGATAAATTAAAAATGATTTACTTTTATTATAACCTTTCCTCCAACTAAATTTTAGGATAAAACTATCTTCACATTATTTTCAGGTAATTACGTGCATTATGTGCACTAGAGCATTGTATTTGCATAGGCTATGCAAGTAGCGACGAAGATATTTTTAGTCGAACAATCGTAAAGGCTCTCTTTATTTCTCCGGTATGAGAAATAAAGAGAGCCTTTACGATTGTTATTCAGATGGGATAGTCAGAGGTAGTGTCAACTATCGACATTGAGTTGAACGTAACTTTTGACGTGTCCACATTTCGCTAGGTATATTTATGTTCATCGTCTCTCAGTTTCTCAGATTTGTTTGGTTTGTTAATGGCATCTCAATTACTGGAGAGTCAGTTTGGAATATAATTTGACACACAAAGTTTTATTTTGTGTTGACTAGGTTTAAGTTGACGCCAAGACACTTTCAATTTTCTTTCGATTTCGTTTCGAAATACTTCTAAAACTTGAAAAAGGCAAACATCGTAAATTCATTGCGCCCGTGTAAGTCCCATAAGTTTTCAGCTTATAAGTCCTTACAAGTCACGGAGGTGACGCTCACAACAAAAGCAACCAAAAGTCACAACCTCAAGGGACGCATTAATGAACTTTCTAGTTCTCGGTCAACAAACTTTGTCTTATAAATTGCAATATTGTTACTAATACCAAAAGGGTTTCGTTAAGTAATGGCAAGATTTTGATACCAAGTTATCGAGTAAGTTGAGAGAAAAAGGCTATAGTGTATTTGTATTCGAATATAATGAGAAGAAAGTCGTAAGCCTACCCTATACGAGTACGCTATCGATTTCTTCATCTTAGCCGTTATTATTTATTATTCTACTGGTGGCCACGCTAATTTTATATTAATAGGGGAATAATATTCTTATATGAAATATTGAAAAAGATTGTTATAGGTAGTACGCATTTGATACAAACAAATAGTATATTTAGTGATACACAAAAAAATCGGCTCTATTTGTTAAAAAATGTGAAGTTGCAATTTAGTATAAAAAATTTTATAGTTACTAATAGATTAAAAACGTGAAATCTAAGTGAGTTTTTGTTGAAGTCGATTATAGTCTATCTCTATTTCTTTGAAATGCATGACATCAAATCAACATGAATCATGCTGCAGAGCTATTCTTTATGAGCAGGAACACGTCTTAATAGTATATGTAATCATTAAGACGTCAAGAGCAAATAAACAAACAATCTGATTGTCACATATTAATATTAGTAAGGGTATGTACTTTAAACTTTTAGAAAGGAAATCCGACATCTTGACAAATAACGAGATAAAACAAAGTACAACGTACACGGCGGCACTCGTGCGCTCTCCTAATTGTGTGCTCCTGTACTCCACTTAAAGTCTATACAAGATGTAATATAACTGGAAGATCCATAAACAATCTATAATTTAATTAATATAATTAATTTTATTTTTGGGACTGCACGAACGTCACAAAATTTCATATGATGGAAAAGGGTAACGGTTATAGATATATTGTCTATATTAGCACCATGTATAAAATAGTGGATAAGGTAGATAGATGGATATACTTTATATTATAAATAAATACAGCGAAGAAAAGACATAAATAATGTATTAAATAACAGATATACATAAGGCGGTCTTATTGTTAAAAGCAATCTTTTCAAGGCAATCTTATAGAAACGGTTTATTGAGCAGGTAGGTAATACAAAAGGTAGAAACTAAAATACCGAATAGTAATAATGATGAAGGAAAATAATAATGAATATAATAATAATTAAAATGTTTATAATACATCTATGGAAGAACATTGCGACTCCCACGGAATCTGTCATAATTTGATATTCCTGACATGTGAAGTCTATACTTATCTCATAGTTTCTATTGCATTTCAACCCAGAATACGGATAACAAATAAAACTCCTGTAGCTGTAATTTAAAAATTAATTTTATTTACATATCAGATACAATTTTAAAATATATTTAAATGGTAATAATTTATTTTTTATAACATTATAATAAATTATTTATTTGAAGACTCAGAGTAATTTTGTATAATAACTATGTGCAAACTACTATATATTCAAAATTAATATAAATCTTTTAAATATAATAGGCACATTGCATTTGTCCATTTTGATAATTCGTAACTTTAAGGTCAAAACTACAGTTTACTTTCACAACATTATGGATAAAATATTACAATTCAATATTATCTACCACATTTCGCAATAATTTGGAAACGGTCAAATCAACCTTGTCACATAAACCTACTAAAATTGCTTATTATTATGGATATACTTTTTACATTTACATTAATATTCCTTTTAAAATAATATATATTAAAACAGTATTTATCGGTCACTTTAAAGTTGCACATGGTACAGTAAAATCTTGTGTAAAAATAATGACAACGATTTAGTTTCAAAAATGATTTATCCAATTTGTATGTATTTTTTTATCTTACAATACTACGATAGTATTTACTACTAGCTGTGCCCGCGACTTCGTATTCGTAGAATAGACGACGAATGATAAATTTCCATACAAATATTCATCCCCTATTTCGTTCAAAGCTGCTAGCTTTAAACAACGACAATTTCATACAACCGGTCATCTCCCCATTCAACACCTTACATCTTTTTTTTCTTGATGAAATTAGCCTATGATGTTTATCAGGGTTTAGACTATCTGTGTACCGAATTTGATTTCAATTAGTTCAGCAGTTTGGCGTGAAAGTGTGACTGACAGAGTTACTACCGCATTTATAATAATTGGGATTGAAAGTTATATACACATACCATATTATATTTTTCACAGAAAGTAACGTATATTATTTTTCTTTCTTAAAAGAAAGGAGGTATTGGTAATGTTTGCTATTTGGTAAACTATATATATATATAAATTATAATAAAAATATGAGTCTGATTGCACTAACATTGATATAGTAGCAGTAAATAATGAATAGAATAGATGACATTAATTTACGTAACACTTAGTAATTTTAAAGAAAATTAAAAGAAAGGTTTCTAGAGTGGAGCCGCGGTCTATCTGACCAGTGCTAGCAGTACAAATAGTCTTTATTGTAACAACCTTCTTTTACTCCTAAATACTTCTAACTATGAAATAACTATGAAGTTATTTCGTCAAAGATTGTTAATAGAAGAATACTATAACAATTTTAGTATATTACTTATATTACATACTTAACTAGCTGTTCCCGCGACTTCGTTCGCGTGGAATTTACCTTTATTTTACTAAAATAAAAGTAGCCTAAATTATTCCTTATTACATCAGCTACTTGCCAAAAAAGTCCCGTCAAAATGGGTCTAGTTTTTTCAGAGATTAACCGGAACAAACAGACAGAGAAAAATTGTAAAAAATCTTAGTTTGGTGTATGTACCGTATTTATATTCATATAAACACAAACAGACACTACAATTTTATTTATATGAATGGATGTATTGATGATAGGTAAAGACATAACGACTATTATACGAGACGGGGTTAGATGTATTAGAACTGTCACGTCCTTGTAAACGCAACACTTAACATGCTCACATTTCGGTAGGTATATTCTAATCAATAAAAAAATAAGACTATTCAAAACTGCTTATATTAAGTTTATTTCAATAAATATATTTATTTTTATCTTTTTTTACTATGTCTCTAGTTGTGATGGAAACGCCGATAAAAAACTAAAATTAATATTAGTAACGGCGCTAGCCTTGCTGACATTACCAGAGATATAGTAAAAAAGGGTAGAAATAGAAATTATCTTTATTCACATAAACTTAATATATTTTTGGATAGTCATATTTTTAACCGTACTACTCATTCGCTACGCAGAGTCATCAAGAAGAACAAGCTATGGATAGAAATGTCTACGCTTCTCTCACTTAATTCTGAGACATAAGATGAGCATATTATATATTTTAGCCGTATAAAGATACGATACATTTAGCGATAGTTACCATTTTCAATCAGGTGAGCCGTCAGTTTGTTTACATTTTTCTGCCAACACAAAAAGTTAGATCGATCACAAAGGTTTATTGTTTGGCAACAACCTTGAAATATTTCGATACCTTTCATTTGATCTCAATACTTTGGGAACTTCCATTATTCAAGTTTTGTATAGTGGAATGTACGTGCAACTGCATGATAATGTAGCTTAATATAAGTGAATGGTTTTTTATTTTGTCAAATAATATTTTATTTATTTGTAGTATTTTATTGTATCAACATTAAAAAAACAAACGACTACAGGT